TAAGAGAAACAACAATGAGTCAGTTAATGCAAAAAGGTTACAAAAAAGGTAGTTTATCACACCACTTCTTATCGATCGGGAGCATCAATCAGTCCGTGCATTACCCGTGAACAGGGATGTTCGATATCGATTCTGTTAATCGATTAATCGTTTATAAATTTTGAGCATTAATCAATTAATCTATAAATTAAAATAATCAATGTAATCGATTATTTTACATCGATTAATAACAGTTAACCGGACTACAGTAAAATAAAAATACATTTTCGTATGTCCTGGTAACTGGACCACGGAATAAATATATTTTGTTCTGTTCAGTTAACTGTACCACTACTGGCGACGACAACAGATTTATTAATCCATATCCCCTGGTGGTAAGAGACCTTACCACCAGGGTCAGGGCTACATGTGGGCCTCTACTTGCACAAAAATATGTGAAATTAAATTGCATTTTCCGCCATTAATAATATAGGTTATAGTGCGATTCAATTAAGAATAGGAAAGCCAATGTCCTCCATCTGTCAAATGTTGCTTGAAAAGTGATGTTTGCAAAAAAATCTTGGAACCCTTTTTTAGCACTTAGCTTATTCTAGAATAAAAACCAAACATTTGTAATCAAACAATAACATATATTAATAATTAATATTGGTTGATATTTTATTTATTTATTGAGCTTTGGCTATGAATGGTTGATAACCTAAATCGTCAACCAAATGTCTCTTTAAGTTGCGTTCAGAAACTAAATTTACAACTTTCGTTTACATAAAGGATGCATGTTAGTATGTGATGATTATTTATAACTACTCCGGCGGTAATGCAGAGATGAGCGGAATTCTTAGATTCTTATTAATGTTTTTTTAAGACAGTCTTAATAAATAAATATTATTAAAAATCGGTTGTTTATTTTCGCAATCTTAGTAAATAAATTTATTACAAAGTTTGATGTTTTTGACGTGACAACGTCTTAAATTAGGTTGCGGCTGGGAGTCACTTATGAAAAAGTGTAACGCTCGGTAACGTTACGATGAGTCTCTCGTGTTAAGTTTAAGTTTACATGTACAATGTTTTAGTAAACAAAATATATTTCTATAGTTAAAATTTGTGCAATTCTTATTTTCATTCAATTCCTTGTTCCTATTGTGCAATTTAATTATATTCATATCAATAAATATTCTACCGAGAAAAAGACGTTGTCACGTAAAATCTTCGCCCGTAAAACCGACTTTACAGGCAACCATTTTTTTCTCACTTAATCTTAGTAAATAAGTTTGATTATATACATTTCTTTTTTGCTCAATCTACCTTTTTGGTTTGAATTGACACAATATACCTTAATTATTATAAAATAAATGTTATTGTCTCAAACAAAAGCAAAAAAAACGAGCTTTGAGTGGCAGCAGAAGCCAAAGACATTCGTTACTGGCCTATATCTTGATTTGATTTACCAATTCTAGTGAGTATGCAAATCGGTAAAGTACGCCTCTGCATCTACTGTTTTTTGATGTGAAACATCTTTCCTCTCGCTTTCCTGCAAATTGTGAGAGTAATTTCGTGAAATGAGACGGAAGTGTGTAACAGAAAGTCGCTCTTTCCATACATCTACTGCTTTTTTCTATAACACCTCCCGATTTTTAAAAATCGGACCTGGCAACATTGCAACCATCTGTCAGGCAAGAAAGCAAATTTCTAATATAGAGCAAGTTTAGAAGTCAATTAATTTACGAGCATACCACACGGATCTGTGCTGTTTGTTTGACATTAATTTTACCAATCCACACTATCTTAGTGCTTGCTTTGTTCGCGTGAGTTAATATTGTACATACCATTTCTATTCAATATAAATGACTTTCATAAAACAATGTAAACATTAACCCTTCAGTAGGTACTATATATCAAAAAGATGTCTTCTCAAACATCAAAACTAGTTTTAGGTCTAGCATGTGCAGTAACTATAGGAATTGTTTCTTATGTTCACATAAAGCAGCAAGCAGACAGGTAAAATACTACTTTATTAAACTACATTAACTATTAACATTCATAACTTTTCAAGTATGGTAAGGGGAATGGAAAATACTAGCAAAGTAAACTTTCTGTTAAAGGGGCGTTTCTCTTACCTCTATAACAACCCAATGGATGTTTTTAGCGTGAAGAGAAACACAATAATATATGTTGTTAGCACTGTAATTAATTTACTTACATAGAATACCAAAAAATATATCTAACAAATAATTTAGAATTTCTCAAGTAGGTAAAAAGAGCGAACCAATTTTCGATGGCAACAGACGGAAGATGTAGCTACTCATACTAAATTCAAATATCCATCATCTGTCTAACGATTGCTAGCCTCATATCTAACACTTCCAAGAATTCCATATAATTATTAACTTAATACTTTTGTTTCAGGGATAAAATGCATGAAGGAGTAATAAAAGATATAGAGCGACAGCAAAGAAGAAAAATAGAAAACTTGTATATTTTAGAAAAACAAAATGAACTAACCAAAACGCTGAGGAAAGAATTAGACAATCAATAATGCAAAATTTATTTATTACTACTAGTTGCTAATAGGATAATATACATTAAATTATTGCTTTTTCTTTTCTTTCAACCACTCTTCTAGCATTACATCTCTTAGTTTTAAGTTTATTCCATTAGGTCGATTGTGGTCTGTGCCATCTATGAAGCCGTCATAATCCACTTTTTGTTTAGCAACTGCTGCTAAGCATTCAAATGTTTTAGGTTCCCATGATGCCAAATCGGATAATGATTTACGATCTAACATTATATTGGCTCTATCCAATCCCTCTTTCAATGTATAGTATGTTATATTATGCTGTTCACATGCTGCTTTTATTCTTATATTCCATAAATCTATCATGTCCTGCTTCTTCAATTGTCTTGCCTTAGTAGCATAAGCTAAGGCACGGTGTACATTACGAACAGCGATAGAATAACAGTTCCTGCGGCGTCCAATGTAATGTGAAGCTAATCTGAATATTCTTCTTTTTCTCCAAAATTCATCAGGGCCTCGACTACGCACAAAGTTTATAACCGACAGGAATACCATTGTAACCTGAAAAAGAAACGTATGTGCTTAGATCTATTTTATGTTAACCCGTTCTAGGTGCTTTAATAAAATATTGGTGGTGTGCGCGGAAATGTGAGTTAAAGTCGTGAGAGAAGGGGTTATTAAATTTTATGGAGTTAACCTTTTTATATGCAATGTAAATAATTAATACTAAATAAATGTACCTTTCTTGATTTGTAATCAAAAGCTTTTTACAAAAAATAATGGCTCGATTCTGCAATTTGAACTGTCAATATTTTTTTTATTTTTCGTTATGACACGGCCAAAGACACTATTTCTACACAGCCTTTTTAAAAGCATTCACTAATGTCATCCCACAAATGCGAGTTTGAGTTTATAATCTCGGTTTTGAGAAGAAAATTGGTTATTCGTATTTGCTATTTGACATTTTGACAGGATGTTGACCTTATTAAATTTTATAGGGAATGAAAAAGACTGTTTTCAAGTTTACAAATGCGAATAACCCACTCGTTCCTCGTGGTTAAACGAGTGTAACTACGACACAGACTATTTAGATACAACCACAGACTATTTAGATACTACGTACAGACTGCAATCTGCAGAACAAAAATTACTACCCTTTTAGTTTTAGTGTCATATGACGTTTTTATTTTTTTTAAATTTGAGTCGTTGTTTCTTTTTTATTTTATAAAAATATAGCGAAGGCAAAGTTATGGTAGTAAATATGCCAGTCAACTCCACAGATAAAATATCAAGGATTTTTTTACTCGTACTTGTTATAGGAAAATTTGAAGTATTATAAATGAGGAAAATAAATGAAACAATAAATTATTGATGTGTCAACATAAATTTATTTGGTAATTTACATATAAATATTTAAATTACAAAAGTTTTAAACTACTTCTACTAAGTTTTTAGACAAACTTAAAAAATATATCACCCCCAGTGACGCCGTCAGGAATGGTGCCCAATAGGCTGGCAGCATTTCCTCGTTGGATAGCAAGGCTGATCCGTTGACCAAGGTAGCTGCCAGCCTTTTGATCACCAGTCATCTCTGTGAGTTTCTTAGAGAATTCCTTAAAAAAGGAACGAGCGCTTGGACCCTATGTTCCCATAGTCCTCAACACCAAACCGCTCAAATATCTAACTCTCATTGAGAGCTGAATATTTGCGCCGCTTGGAGCACTCAGCAGAGGCCGCCGCCGCGCCTGCAGCTAGGGAGAAACTACCTGTATGTACACAAGTAGCGTCCCATACAAGAGGACGACCCTGCTTCCATGGAATGAGCGTCATTCCGTCAGGTCTCTTGCCATCATCTCGTAAGATGCCACTAGGCTCTAGATAGAACCGCTGGTACATTGACAAGAGCCCTGAGGATGACGTCATTGATGCAGGCGTGGCGAGACTCGACCAGTGCTCATTTGGCACGAGACCATGGTGTCCCAACTCCCCGCGCAATCAATAATGGGTTGTATTGCCAAACTAAAGGACGACCAACCAACCCAACTAAACGAGAGGATCGCCTTGCTGACAGCTAACATATTATTTATTAAAAGATTTATTTTTTAATTTCTTTTTAAATTTTTCAAGAGCTTTTTTTTGCATCGCAGGCAAATCAGTTCGTTTCTGCAAACGATATATATCCGTGCCCTTCAAGATTTTATTGATAATAGTGCACCAGTTATTAATGCAAAATTTTACTGTTACAGATATAAAATAATCAAGAACCATGTCCTTATGTTCAGCACAGTCTATGAAGTCAAACAAATACTTGGACAAAATCTCATGTTTTATTTCTGATGATATTTTACTAACATGAGGACTTTGTTCCAAGTATTTGTTTGTTTCGGTTATGACTGTGCCAAAACACCTTATGGCACCTTCCGATGGGTAGTTTAAACGATTTTTAGCAAAGTCGTATTCTCTATGGCTTATCCATTCATGTATGTCACTACTTTCGCTTGTGAGACTGACTTTGCATCCAGCACATTTTATTTTTAATTTATTAAATATTTTATTAACTACCCAACCAGCAGTATAGGCACGCGAGTGGACATTAATGCGCTCTCGGCGGGCCTGATCAATAATAATCTCAAAATTATTGGAATGACCCTGCTGAACATCATTTTGATTTTCATTAAATAACATATTTCAGTTTAAAACTTGTTCAGCAGGATCATCCTCACAATTAAAAGTTCCATTATGAAATTTAATGAACCTAGTAATAAGTAGAGATTTAAAGGTGCACTTAAAGCTGTGGCAGTTTGGATCATTACTTCGGTAATTATAAGCTCTTACTTGACCGAAAAAATTCTCAATTGGGTCAGAGTTATAATATCGAGGCCTCATTATTTTAATTTCATGATTTTTTAAAAACTGCCACAGCCTCACATAACTATTTAAGGTTATTACAATTTTTTTTAAAGAGGGTACGGTTTTTTCATTGCCTGCTGTATCTACATATTTAATAGTTTCTAATTTTTTGATCGAGTCTTGCCAAAACTTGTGATGAGGTGATTTTTCCGTTACCGCAGTGCGTAAAGGCTTCCCTTTCTTGTGGGACAGAATAGAAGCTCCATTGACGCTATCAAAAAGCTGGTCAAAAAACAACACAATCTCTGCAGTGTTTTTTGTAGTATTGCTTACAGGACTGCCATCTGCATAATGAGCTGAAAAGTTTTAATATTATAAATTGTGATGGTCATTTTCTTGAATAATAATAAATAATAAGAAAGGAATCACATAATTATGATGTATAAAAAGAAGCATTCAGTAAAGAACAGGCTTTTTAAAATTTACTTACAAAATTTCGATGTATAGAACAAAGCTGCAGAGACAGTTTTACTGAATACTCTTACACAGTTTTTAACCTGAAACAAGCAATTGTCTTTATTAATGATTAGCCCATTTCAACTTATAATCATCATCAGCCTAATATCCAATCCAATACATTAGGAATGTAACAAAATATATGAAACACCATTCAAACCCCTTAAATCTCGATGGCACAATTGGTTAGCGCGTACGGCTGAGATCGTTTATATAAAGCAACTTCGCAGTGGTTGGTCCACCAAAAATTTACTACCTCGAGCTATTCCTTGCTACGGAAGGCACGTTAAGCTGTGTCTGCAGTCGTTAGCACCCACCAATTGGGTGGTGGGTCATGTGATGGATCATGGCCCAATCTCCCTATTCCATCCATAGGGAAGGCCTATGCCCCAGCAGTGAGGGCATTGTTTAAGCTGCTGATGATGATGATGTGTTCCCACCCAATCATCAATCATAAGAAACAAAATTTATTATATAAATAACCAACCTTCATCTTTTTTATTTTCTCTGGGACCACATGTTGGTCATTTAATTTGTGCAGTAGTCTTGCTTCCGTGTGATGGCAGTCTGTTTCGTACACATGTAAGATATCACTCCATTTGGATAACTTGCCATCCAGTATTATATTTTTATTAAGGAAATTATTTCTCAATCCCTTTATTAAATGCGGTGGGTCATAAATAATATTCATATTCAGCCCATTAATTATCACAGTGCCATCTGAAATCATAACGCATATTTTGTTAGTTCTTGTTAAACCAAAATTGAAGTTCAAATTTTTTTTAAATAATTATATCTCTTTTTATGAACAAAAGTATTTTTGTAAAGTGTAAAAGTACTGAGTATTTTCATTGGATTTTAAGTTGTACTACAATACAAAACAGTAAAATATTATTCAAAAGCAATTCTGTTATCAGTAAGAGAATTGCTTTTGTAATAATATTTTTACCTTCGTTCATGGCATTTTGTAAATGTCCATATCTACGATATAATATAAATTATTATATACATGCTCCTGAAAAAATTTAATACATAAATACTATAGCTTGTAAATTAATGTATTATACTAACCTGGTTCTTGGTTAGAAAGCAATTGATCTCGTCTAGTATCGTCTTTAAGACTTTTTAAAGCAGCTTGGAAGGCTGACCCTTGGTCACATATCAAAGCAATTGGATTAAGTCCAGATTCTCTTACGGCAGAAACAATTTCTTTCAGAATCTGCTTTAACTGCAGAGCTGAAGTGGCTCCTTCGCAATAGTAGAAAGCAATTGGTTGCTGCCATTTAAATACAGCACCCCTTAACAAGAAAACAAGAGCATGGTCAGCAAATTGACTGGATTTTTCACCCAGTTCCACAAACCCATTAATGTTGTCATTATTTTTATCATATGTTAAGCCCATTTCTAATGACATCTCATCAAAGATTATGGAGCACCATTTCTTTTTTTCAGGCCATTCTGTAACCTAAAAGAAGTGCAATGTATTAAAATGTGTATTGCAAGTTTTAAGGATTTTATAGCTTTTGTTTTCATGCACAGCAATCACCAAAAAACACTTTTTAAACAAAGGGTTCAACTGTGCTGTGTAATATTTTAAATAACACAGCAGTTGTAAACTTTCAAACCTGTTTAAAAAGTTTTTTATTTAAGATTAAAGAAAGTTAATGTCGAGTTTTCACAAAGAAAAACCATACCATAAACTTACCTCTTTTTTAATTAAATTGAAAACCTGTGGACAGATGCCAGCTTGAATATTTAGTTTTGCCACCATTTTATTTAAAGTGAATCGGGATGGCAGTATGAATATTTTATGCAAAAATTTATAGCATTTTGGGCTCTGCTTCATTATGGATAAAGCTATCAGTTTTTCTTCTGTTGTGAAGCGATAGCCTTTCTTTCTTTTAGTACACAAGTTTATTTGCATCTTCAAAATTTTTTTTGCATATGGATTCATATTTTTAGTTATTTTTTCAAAACACTTTTCTTTATTAAATTTTAGTGCTTGCTTGGCTCTTTGGTGAAATGCAGCAAGTTTTTTTGCTTTTTTGTATTCTTTGTAAAGCATTTGACAACTTGGTTCCAAATCTTTAACTTTTTTTACCATACGCTTTCTGGACACTTTAGTCTTTTTTGGTAATAAGTGTGATTCTGAAAAAATACAACAAATTAAGATAATTATTGGTGTGATAAGAAAAAATCTGGTCTTCATAAAATTTATGTATAAAACAGAATATAAAAAATTCAAAGTTTTATAAGAACCACAAAACTTACCTGCAGCATTTGGCTTTGCTTGGAGCTGATTACCTGAAACAGCAGCGGTACTCCAATTGGATGACACTAAAAAAAAAGCAGACATAAATGCAAGTTCATAAAATCAAATAATAATATTTAAACATTACAGTAAATTATTCTCTAATACCTGAAGCTGTAAAATTTGGTGGATTTTGTGATGTACTTGGTAAACAGTGCAGTACGCTAGAGTTAGCGTTTACCACTTCTGAAAAAAATTACCAAACATTAGAAAAAGATAAAATATTAGTCATAGTTCATTATAACATTCCAAAGGCAGGTGACTTCAGAAATGCACAGAAAGTGAAATATCATAATATGTATGGACTGTGCCTAATGGCTGCCTTACCAATCTAGGACATTGTATGTATTACATTATGTTATTTAAAATATTTACAAACCTTTTAATGGTTCCATGCAGTATGTGTGGTCAAAGTGTCTTTTCCGAGTGTAACTATGCTCAAGTTGAGGATCCATGTTCTCTGCAATAAAAAAAAAATACATTTATATTTCAAACTTAATTCTGTTATTACAAATTGTTATTTTTTTTAATATTTAGCACAGAAATTTTGTGTCGTCACATTTGATCAACAATACTATAGATAACGGGCCTGTGCGTAAAATCCCTCTCGGTAATTATAACCTCACTTGAAGAGTGAGATCTTAGTTCAGTTAATATACAGCCAATGGGTCGGTCGGTCGATTAAGGTTGTATGTAGGAAATAACATTTCTTTGTTGTTATTAGGTTCAACTTAAACTGTTTTAGAACATTTGTCTTTGTTCATTAGGAATCAAAAGCAGCTGCATAAGTATATACTCACGCAGACAGTTGGTAGCTTTGATTTTATAATCAACCCATCATCTATAGAATTGTTGATGGAAGATTATCACACAAAAAATGTAACATAATAAGATTACTGCTTCACAAATTTACTTTTAGTAATAAAGGTAGTTTTTAGAGGATTTCAACAAATAAAAAAAAACTGCAGTTTAATGAGTCTAATTTTTATAAATAAGAGCTTTTATTTATGATCATTTTAATATTATCAAATTTTTCTATTCAAATAGTCATTCAGATCTATACTACACTTAATTTTAAAGATAACTGAGCTACTCATAACTTCACCATTTAAGATGTAAATCATCAGAAGTAGTATCCAAGCTCTAACTTTCCGATCCAGTGAACTCTGACAACCTTTCTCTTCAAATTATAGAATAGATTTAAAGTATGTAGTGTAACCGTTGGCATGCGGAAAGGCGTAAACATTTAATTAACTGTGCTTTCAGAGGTATAAAACAATTATTTTATGGACTTACCGGAGTTGTCTCGAGATGGAACACCACACAAAATCTCTTCCTCAGTAAAAAGTGACGGATATGCACTGATAACGAGTCGAGATTTCGTTGTAAGAAATCTTCTTTCAAAGTGCTTTTCACATACAAAAAGCTTAGAAAGCTGTTCTTTAGTTGCTTCCTTGAATTCATCCCGATTTAAACACTTTAACCACTTGTTGCGTCTTTTCTCACTGCACGGAAAATGATATAAAATAGCGTCCTGTCGCGACCTTTTGCACACACAGCAAATGTAATACATCTTAAATGATGTAAAAATCACCGACAAAGAGACACGGAGGGCTCAATAACATATAAAGTGGAGAGGATAAGCACAAACGACTTCACTCGATCGACACAGTACATATAATAATATGGATGGCCGCCTGCAAGTGTGACCGGAATAAATTTTACGAAAAACCCGAAATAATGCTTTGAAAATTAAGTCGAAAATGTTTTAAAATACTAAATCTGGTCACACTACCTGCCGGAATTAGCCATTTAATCCGGCCAATCACAGCACAGAACTCTAAGTTCAGAAACGTCTGTTGATGATAAAACAAAATGGCGCTAGAGCTAGTGCTTCGTACTAGAAGATTGCCACCCGTGGATACAACTACGAGGAAGACCCTGGGTGTATTCCGAAATATAAACCAGTACGCTGCCCAGCGGCAATGACGTCATGATTTTGACGCCATATTGCACTGGAGTAGTAGTAGTGTTGTCAATATGGCGTCGAAATCATGACGTTGACGACATAACCTAAAATTTAGGATTGTATGTATTTTTTAATACCACATTATAAAAAAATAAATATTGTCCAAAAAAATTTAGGGGTGTATAACATAGTGTTCTATAAATTTCCTGAGATATAATTCCTCCTAACCCATATGAGAGCACTATGTTACAATACCCAATAGTTTGAATTTTGGAGCGAAGGCGCATTGTAGGTTTTCAGAACACTACGTTACAGGTGGACAACTATTATCACTTATAGATATGAAAAATAGATAGTAGCCGATTCATAGACCCACGGAATATGCATTTAAAATTTAATCGGTCTGGCAGTTACGGAGGAGTATGGTAACTAAAATTGTGACACGAGAATTTTATAATAAGACTAGCTGACCCAGCGAACTTCGTACTGCCATAAAAATAGGGGCAGGTGGGAGAAGAAAAAATTTAGGGTAGTAAGTATGAATTTTTTAATACCTCATTAAAAAAATTGTCCATAAAAAAATTTAGGGGTGTGTAATGTAGTGTTCTATCAATTTATTGGGATAACATTCCTCTTAACCCATATGAGAACACTACGTTACAATACCTAATAGTTTGAATTTTGGTGCTAAGGCGCATTGTAGGTTTCAGAACACTACGTTACAGATGGACAACCATTATCACTTAAGGATGTGAAAAATAGATAGTAGCCGATTCTCAGACCCACGGAATATGCATATAAAATTTTATAAAAATCGGTCAGGCCGTTTCGGAGGAGTATGGTATCTAATAGTCTGTGATGGTAACTAACTTTGTAACACGAGAATTTAATATATATGATATATGCCGGCAATCTGTATAAAGCAGGTAATTGTAGACAATACCTAGGCAATACATAAAATATTATTTTCCATTTTATACATTGCTTAGGTAATGTAGGTATATAATTACTAGGAATTGTGTAGAGCACCTGCTAGCCCAACAGCAATGTGTAAAGCAAACAGATTTGGCCTGTATTTTGGATAAAACGGACGACTTTGTTAATTCTGACAGAATGAATTACAGACCAATAAACGTTTGACCAACTCACAATGAGTAAGATTAAGTTCGTGTTGCGATCTATACTTAGCGCGAGCCGAGCGAGCAAAGCGAGTGTGGAAGGGCAGTGGAAGCGGCAGCGGCCGGTGAAGCGCCAGCTACCTGATAAATAATTATATAGCTAATACAGGGAAAATTCGACTCGCTTTCTTATATCTATCGACTGGGCATTCGGCATTATATAGAATACCTAGGCAAAATATAAAATGGATGGGATATTTCCAACACTCACACCAATTATAATAATTATAATTTATAAAAAAACTAGTAAAATCTAAGTTAAACATAAAGAAACTCGAACACGATTTATGCAAGCTTGACTTTGCCCCAGTTTTTCAATCGACGGACGCGAATGCTTCTTTGTTGTATTTAATTAATAATGTTGAACAAGCTATATTACATAATACGTCTGTAGTTGCTTCAAATAAACAATATCAAAATATCAAACCTTGGATAACCCCGGGTATTATTCGATGTATAAGACACAGGGATAAACTTCATATGAGGACAAAAAAATATCCCGATAACCTCACGTTGCTAGTTATCTATAGGAGATACAGGAATTTCGTTAATAATCTTTTGAAAAAATTAAAAGCAAATTATGAAAAAAATGAACTACTCAAAGCAGGCAAGGATAGCAAACGCCTTTGGAGTCAATTAAAAAATTTACCTACATTTCAAAAAGGCACGAATCGTGTTCGAGTTTACTATTAACCCATCCTTCACCGCTTATAACTATTTTATTAATATGGGAAAAGACCGTGCAGAACGCCACCAACCTCTAAATCTATTTTCTCAGTCACTTAACGCTACCACTAGTAGGAATAGTTTTGTTATGTTAGATACCGACCAACAAGAAATTTTACAAATAATTACAAATTTGAAAGATGACAGTGCAGTCGGCTTTAATAACATTAGCAATAAAATCCTCAAAACTTTTATGCATATTTTAATACCACCGTTAACACGCATTTTTCAAATCTGCCTTTCGCAGGGTATTTTTATTTTTAAAAAAAGCAGTAGTTACTCCTGTCTATAAATCTGGATGTAAAGATCAAGTAAATAACTATAGACCAATATCAGTGCTTCCATCCTTATCAAAACTATTAGAAAAAAATATTAACAAAAGGCTTATTGACTACCTGGAAAAAAATAACTATTTGTCACCTACGTAATTTGATTTTCGGGCAAAGTTGTCAACAGCAACATGCATAACCTGACTAACTATATTACTCAGGAACTAGGCAAAGGAAAGCATACTTTAGCTGTTTTTCTTGATTTAGCAAAAGCGTTCGATACCGTTTCAATTCCGAAGCTTCTAAAAAAGATGGAAGTTGGGTATTAGAGGAACGCAGTTAAAACTGTTTGCAGATTATTTAGACAATCGATCTCAATGCGTTAAAATAGGAAATATTAAAAGTGATTACCAGAAAATGGTATCGATTCTAGCATGATTCTCTAAACCTAAACTTAAATTTGACAGCAGTATATCCTTGTCGTTCTCTATACAGAATGAAAAGGAGAGACTGATGTTAAATTTAGTTTTAAGTTTAGAGAATCATGCCAGAATTGGCACCAGTGACCTGCTATGGTATTCCCCAGGGAAGTATAATCGGCCCTACCCTTTTTCTCGTTTACATCAATGATTTATGTAACCTTAATTTAAAATGTGGTAAAATTATATCTTACGCCGATGATACGGCCTTGATTTTTAGCGCCAATAGTAGTTCAGGATTATATGAGGTAGCTCAACTTGGTCTTAATGGTGTAAATAACTGGCTTCGCTGCAATTTACTAACACTGAATACTGACAAAACCAATTATATTCACTTTTACAAATCCTAACTTATACGCACACCAATGCCAATATCCTTCAGTCAATAAATGCGATTGCCCTTTAATACAGAACACATCCCATATAAAATATCTTGGTATCTTAATTAACGACACATTATCTTTTAGACAGCATATTGCAAATCTAGTAGTCAGGATCCGTAAATTAATGTATATTTTTAATAAATTACGTACCATTGCAGGTCCTAAACTAATTAAACAGGTATATCAGGCCTTATGCCAATCAGTAATTCAATATTGTATAACTTCATGGGGTGGAGCTCTCAAAACTATTTTAATCCCTCTCTAGCGAGCTCAGAGAGCCATTTTAAAAGTAGTCAATTCACCTCCCTTCTTATATCCTACGCATCAACTTTACAAATACTGTAATGTGTTAACTGTTCGCCAGCTTTTCATTATGCACACCATATTAAAACAACACACCATTTCACCTTTTTGCTCTGATATCACTAACAAAAGACGGAAAGATATAGTCTGCATCTCTACACATGATTCAAAATACATCTTTTCACATAGATTCTCTACTTTCCTAAGTCCTTTCTTATATAATAAATTAAATAGAGTGTTAGGTATTTATACATTAAACTATTTTAACTGTAGAACTGTAGTATTTAATTATTTGCACAGCCTGACATTCGAGCAGATCGAAGAATTACTTC